TTGTTGCTGTTGTTGCTGTTGTTGCTGTTGTTGCTGTTGTTGCTGTTGTTGCTGTTGTTGCTGTTGTTGCTGTTGTTGCTGTTGTTGCTGTTGTTGCTGTTGCTGCTGTTGCTGCTGTTGTTGCTGTTGTTGCTGTTGTTGCTGTTGTTGCTGTTGTTGCTGTTGTTGCTGTTGTTGCTGTTGTTGCTGTTGTTGCTGTTGTTGCTGTTGTTGTTGTTGTTGTTGTTGTTGTTGTTGTTGTTGTTGTTGTTGTTGTTGTTGTTGTTGTTGTTGTTGTTGTTGTTGTTGTTGTTGATACTTTTGTATCTTACAGTATATTTATGATACTATATAATCATTGTTTAAGAGATAGACATTGTTCCATGCAACGATAACTAGGCCATTATAGGGGCCGGTCACACTGGCGATCTAGATCGATCCGTATGGGGGCGAAGTGTGCGCATGGACAACCAAGAAACGAGCTGAGATCGATCTAAGATTGATCTAAACTCGATTGGATTGATTCACCTTTTCAACCGAGCTAATTTCTTGCTTAGCATCCTGGCATTTCCCCCCGCTCGTGCATTGTCGGTAGTTAATTCGGTAAATATATATTCATTCACATTTTTGTGCAAGTGTGGATACTCCGCAAGAAGTCCAAGAAATCGCCCTCGGATCACTTTGAGATCGCTTTAATTTAGATTGATCTCAAGGTGTGTCAAGTGTGGACGGCCCCGTATTAAGATTGTTCACTTTCGAAGTTGCAAGTCTAAACCAATGGCAAGCAATAAATTATACCATGTGTTCTCGCTTATAAATATTATTTTTTGTAATACACTCTATTAATTAATAATACTAGTCTAATAAAAGTACAGTTTGAAATTGTGTTTTTGTTAATTAATTGTCCACGTTTAAAAAATATCTGAATAAAACCTTAGGCTATTTGATAATTATCAGGACCGCCGAAGGGGGCGGGGGGGGGGGGCAGGGGGGAGCAAATTGCCCCAGGCCCCACTTTAATAGGGCCCCAACTTGAGAGCGAGAGCCTAAAATTGAGTCGGTTCTTTAATGGTCACAGTATTTTTTTAAATTGAGGACCTTTAAAGTACCTCCACATGATCTAGCTAAGGTCTAGTTGGGTGACGACTGACTTGGGTCTAGCTTAGAAATAATGGTGTCATGGGGCCCCCAGAGAAGATTTGCCCCGGGCCACGCGAATTCTCTCGGCGGCCCTGATAATTATCCTTGGCACTGGAAATTATTCGACCTCTCGCGACGACATATAATAGTGAATCGTTAGAGCATGTCAGTAAGAAAACTGGACATGAAGGGGCTGTGAATCCAGATAGATTAAAGCGAAGAGATTATAACCGTTCACAGATTGTAGAGTCTGCGCCAGGAAATTAAGGATTGAAATTGAGGATGTAAAATATTCCAGGTTGGACTGATATCCATGCAGTAGCTACAAAAATATAATGCATATATTCGGAATTCGATGATATTCCTCATTTGTTTAGGCTTTTGCGCGTTGGAAGAGAATGGAGTTGTTAATAGGACGAATTGCAAAATTATAAATGTTTTTCTGGAGTTTAGATTATTGAGCATTAAGGTCCATGCAATCAAACGAGGATGAGAGTTGATAACAGTTGGCATGCAGTCACGCATTGTCGCGGAGGATATTTCAAGCTTTAGATGAACAAAATAAATGCTTGATGAGTGTTCCAACTATGTTACGTTTTGACTTAAATAGAATATAGATAGATAGCGTTGGGAAAGCATTAAGAACAGGTAACCAAGGCCACGTGACTGCCAACTCTCATGCACTCATCCTCGTTTGATCCGGGCTTTAGACAATTGACCGCACCTAGTTTACCTGAGATAAGGGAAACTAAAGACGCTGGAGAAAAAGGATCCTTGACATGTCAATTAATTTTGGAGTTTATCTTCATGTCCAGCACTTCTTTAGCTGTAGAATTGTAAGTGTCATATAGAATATTGTAGTAGTTGATTTCCATAGTTCGTGGAGTTCGTTAATCAGTGTTTCATTAAGGGAAAATTTTAAAGCTTTTTGAAGAACGTTTACGGTTTGACTCCTATAACTTATTATATGTTGGTAAGTTCAGTGTTATTTCCTGATATTGGTTCTTAATTCAAGCCTTCTGCAAATGTATTGATTCACAACAGAATTTATATTTTCAGTAGCGGGATAATTTGGATAGGACGTATAATATAACGACGGTAGAGGAAAACTTTATTTTTCGGGTGTAGTTTGAGTCAATATCAGTCAAATGATTGCATTGGAAAAGAGAAGGAGAAATGAATTGCACTTGCTCATAAGAATAACGATGTAGTCTATTCGTAGCCTTAATGACTATTTGAAAAAATAAACAAGAACATTTTATATGCATGCATTGCTTTTGAATAATAGGCCTACTATTGATTAGTTAAGCTAGACTATTAAGCCTCTATAAATAATGCTGTTTTTATTCTTCAAAATATTTATTAAAAACCTAAATATAAAATATATTACAAATCTGTTTAATTAAATAGAAAGTATTTACATAAAAATATTTCTGACGATCTAAAACTCTACTGCCATATCCAGTGTTTGACTTTTGCTTCTACCTTCTACGTACCATTCTACCATTGTGTAGAAATTCAGACAATTACACACTGTTATAGTGGACGTAACAGACTTTACACACGGTACTATCGTGTGTCCCTAAATTGACGTTTCCTCTGAAGCAAATCCGCTTAGTTTTCTCAACATCATTTTGCAATACTCTAATCTGGTAGCAACATTTTGAGGGCAGCCATATTGTAATATATTGGATAAAATATAGTCTGAATGTTCTCGGTTCTCATTAATAAATGTCACGAGCTCGTCATGTGCACCTGGGTTGAGAATGATTTTTGTGTGATCACCAAAGAAATTCACCTGCAAAGAAAAACAAAGAATTGTTAAATGAAACAAATTTCAGAAAATTCCATTCACTTTTAAATGTACTGTACCGTACCGTACCGTACCGTACCGTACCGTACCGTACCGTACCGTACCGTACCGTACCGTACTGTACTGTTTTTAATGAATTTATTTTTGTTTTAATTTCTTCAGAAGATCTTTTATTATTTTTAATACCAGACCAGCAGACTGTATAAGGAAAGAGATTTGCGATACATTTTTCTTGAAGACCAACACTGTAACTATATTTAAACGTGGACAAAAGTAACGGTGCATGGGAAGAGGGCAAAAGAAAAATATCGCCAAATGCATTTATGATCAGACTTCCAATCGACACTTCTTATCGCTCGAAGATGTAGAATATACAATTTTAGAGGCAATAATTCTGGGGCAGGGAGCACGTTAACAGGGCCGCCGAGAGGGGGGGCAGGGGGGGGATTGCCCCGGGCCCCCACCTTAATAGGGCCCCAACTTGAGAGCGAGAGCCTGAAATTGAGTAGTTTCTTTAAATTGGTCACAGCAATTTTGAAATTGAGGGCCCCTTTCAGTATCTCCACATGCAGTCTAGCTAATGTCTATAGTTGGGTCTAGCAAAATAATGATGTCATGGGGCCCCCAGAGAAGATTTGCCCCCGGCCCCGCGAATTCTCTCGGCGGCCCTGCATGTTAATGTATAAAAATATATTTGGTAATGCTTACTAATGTTTATCTTTCAAATGTTTCTATCCTCTGTAAATATCTGTGATAATAAACTACAAATGTGGTTATTAATACCTGCATAGTTCCGTTGCTCAAGTATATTACCATTGCTTTCTGAGTTCGAACCCAGATTGCCAAGAAAGGCGTAGATTCACGGTCTAAAGTGCTTAATGTGTTCTCTTGGCGTGTACCCTAAAATGAAAAATGTAATTGAACAAACTTGTTCTTGATTAGAAAGTTGAGTAATCTTTTTGAAGTTTGTTTACACCCAGAAAATGTTACATCAACAACCCAACGTTTGGACACTCCAGTCATGAAACTTCATCACGGGAGATTTAAAGGATTTCCGCTTTGAATGTGGATTAAGGTTGCAAACGTGCATGAGAATATCTGCAACTACGTGGTTGAAAACTTCATCTTTTAGAACATGTAAAAAATCCATGTTGCGACTTTAGATCACTGCTGGCCCTGAAGAAGGCAGAAGAGTGGAGTTCCGAAATTCGATATAGGATGCATGCATATTCTGAAACCAGAATACTGTGAGAAAAGATATGATTTTTTCTTAAAGCTCATTGACAAGATACAATTAGTCGTGTACGATTCTTTATCCTGGTGCATGCATGTACTCAGTACTCGAATAAGAACCCAAAACGATTTCTATTAATTCGCAATAAACTGATGCATAGCCATAGGAACAATCATGGCATTCGGGGCATCGTAAATTTATACGCCAGAATGATAATCACCTTATATGATCATGACTAATCGTATGGTGTAAATAAGCTTTTAACAATGGATTATAAGTAACGTTACCTTCAAGAGATGTTTTTCCATATAAGTTGCAAAATATTCCAAAAGAATCACTTTTCTTCCCAGTTTTTCTGGTGCAGATTCCGGATGGAAAGAGCAAATTTGTTTCTCTTTGCCACAATAGCGAACTAACCTGGAAAAAGCAAGTACTTTTATTTCAATGATAGTGATGAACACCAATTATCACGTTAATAACAATTAATCTTATATTATTGGTTCCGAAGGTAACAAGATATTTTTATTAAACTGAAAAAATCTGAAAAAGTCTTACCCCTGGCCAAAATTATTGTGGACTGCAGCGTGTGCGTAAATAGAAATACCTGTTTTCCCGAATCGTATCCTTGGAAAACAAGATTCTTACTAAAGTGGATTATATGAGGTACCCCTCCTGAAATTCATCTATTTAGACTAATGACGATTTTTATTAGAAAGTATATCCAACAAAAGCCTTCCATTTACAGGCCGGAGAGTGGGGAAGGGGAATCACCCATATAGGACTGAGGGTCTCAGGGTCTGTGCCTGTATGTAGACGGCAATAATTAAATGTTCCTTGGCTATTCAAAATATTTTAGGTTTGTTCCTAACATATTTTGAAAATATAACCGTCTATGCAGGCACAGAAGTTGCGGCAACATGAGAAATATAAAAAAAATTTTCATGTTCTCATTCTCATTAATGATTCAATCTAAACTTATTGACATAATGATTTCGTCCTTAACAACAAACCCAATACGGGTAACGTTACCCGCGTGGTCCACAAATATTAGTTAGTTAATATTTCTGTCATTTTTTTTATAAGTGTATAAAAAATGTTAAACCATGTTCACATTTTGTACGCAATTTGTACAATATTTCACTTACTGTCTGTCGCGTGTCAATGTCATTTTTGATCCATCGTTAAACCTTACAAGAACGCTTCCATCGGAAAGCTCCGCACCAAATCCATATTTATTGCTGTAATCGACCCATTTACATACATAAAGTTTCCTTAAAGTGTCCGATGAGCTTCCGTCATTTGTTGAAATACTTGAAAGTCTTGTGCTTTCAGTTGAAGTTGTCGAGATATCAACTGACGGTGAGCTGTCGCTGACCTTTGGCATGCATGTTAAACATGCCGAGAGTTTGCGGTATAGATCGTCAGGTGAAACAAGATGGATTGTTGGATCTACAGAATAAAACGAATGTTATAAGTATAATTAGGAACATGATCTTGCGCATGTTGGCAAGGAACTACTTTTCTGATAAAGTGCGAATAAACTAGTGAACTTAATTTAAATTGGAGGGTATTAATAGTAGTCTTTTGGCTTTCGTACAACGGATAGACAAATTTGGTTAGCATCTGCATGTTATACCAAATTCACAACTTTCTTAGATAACTCACATCCCTAGTTACTATTGTTCTAGTTCACAGAAGCATAGAATAGAACAAAGGTAACCATGAAAGCTTCAGAATTATTTACATGAGTGATTATAACTCCTATACATGTTTTTTTTTCTAGGTAAGAATTCTCAATTTTGCTGTGCTTCGATTCTAATTCTATGTTTCTGTAAAAGACAACAACTACAGTAATTATGACTGTGAGTTATCTAAAGAGCAAAGCTGTGAATTGGCAATTCCAGCTTTTAGTTTAAGCCTGCAGGGGATGATGGGAAGTAAGGTATCATATTGCTGATTATGCTGAAAAATTTCAATAAAAACTACCGAAGCAACCGAAATATTTCAATATTTACATGTGTATAAGCTATCACTCCGTGTTTACACGGAGTGATAGCATAATCAGCAATGTGATACCTTACTTCCCATCGTCCCCTGCACGCAGAAATTAAAAGCTGTAATTGCTAGTTGGGTGGCAACGATGCAAACAACGTTAGCCAAATTTGTCTATTGAGAGAGATACAACTGATCTATTAAATATCAGCAGAACTTGGACGTTTCGATTGTAAAGCCCTTTAAATAGTCGGGGAGTTAGACTTTTATGATATCAGCGTTGGAATATTTTGTACAAGTTTTTGAGCCAGGTGTATTTACGACTATAATCCAACTGAATACCCAACTACCTTACGGCCTTACCTTGCGTCGGGCTAGAACTGCATGAACTTTTTGTTTCCTTGTCAATCCATTTTGACCTATCATTTGTATTTTCATCATTTAACTGTAGTTTTGTGAGAACATAGTTTATCTTATCAGAAGTTGGTTTTATAGTCCCTTTCTGTTCAGAAGTGGAAGATGATCTGTGTAGAGCGGTAAACCTTGGTGGCACCATACAACATGATGATGGTAATGAACTAGGAACAAAACCTTTCACGAAGAATTCGTCGGTTTCACAAACTGTGTGAAGACATGGTCTGCTTTGTGGATTATTACTAAGGAATTTCTGTATCAATTTCGCTGCAGATCTTGAAATTCTTGATGGGATGACATACTGGTTAGTTTTGATGCGAGTGTAAGTTTCTTTCAGAGACATTGTCTCAAAAGGTGGTCGACCAACCAGAAGAGTATACCTAAGAAAACGAATTACAACGTGATATAAAGCAGACAAATGTATTCATGTTGAGTTGTAGTCATGCTCTTGTAGATAGAGCGATCCTCTCACATATAGATCGTCAATCATCTATATATTACTATTACGTTAAAGTGCGTATGACACGAAATTTCACCCCAAATGTTTATGATTGCATTGTAAAGATCACTTAAAATGACTTTATAATTTCTTTTATAGAATTTTGGTAACTTGTCTCCTTTGCAAGATATTCAACTTTGTTTCATATGCAAATATCACCGGTGTGACATCACATCGCATAATGACATTTTAAAAACGCAATATTTTACCTTGATAAAATATTTTTACAAACAAGCACAGAGGGTTACTTGCTAGTTATGAAATTAATACATATACAAGGGCAATTTTAAAGTTTTTTAGATACGTATTCGTCAAGAAAATTATACTTTTCTGAAAACTCATTATGTGATGTGATATGTCACACTGGTGATATTTGCATATGAAACAAAGTTGAATATCTTAAAAAAGGAGCAAGTTACCAAAATTCAATAAAAGAAATTATTAAGTCATTTTAAGTGATCTTACAATGCAATCATAAACATTTGGGGTGAAATTTCGTGTCATAGGCACTTAAAGATCTTAAATGATAAACGTCCTTAGCGACTTGTGAATGCACCATTGCGGATAGTACGTCTGACTTTGGCTATAGAGCCTCGTTTTCGAGTATATGACATTTATTAAAGCCTAACGTCGCAAACACGAAAACGTGGCTCTATAACCAAGGTGATGTACTTTCCGGAAGCGTTCATTGGCTTGCAGAAATCTATAATGGCTTTACCTCAGACCATTAATTTACGCTAGTTTGCTTTAGATTTGAATATAAAGCTCTTGATAAAGCTCCTGAATTTGTCAAAATGGTCACGCAATCAATTAACTTTACATTTTTGTCGGAAAATAATTGCTGGTGATACTTACATTACACAACCCAGTGCCCACGTGTCCACCTCGTAACCATGACGACCTTTCTTCAACACCTCGGGGGCAATGTAATTAGGTGTACCACAAACGGTCCTGAAATTGCAATTTTTCATGAAATTTAGGAATTACACATTTTTGGTGTCAAACTACCTTTTGGTAAATGTTCAATATTTTCCCACCATTTTTTTACTAAACACCCAGCGGGCAAAATGACGTTTATCCAACGTTGAATCAACGTTGGAAATGACCTTCCAGACGTTGGATAGACGTTGAAAAAGGGTTGACTATGTAAATTGGATCGACGTTACTGTTTAGACGTTGAAACAACGTTGAAATTAGGTTGCCAATCTCGTCAACCATAATTCAACGTTGAATCCACGTTAAAACAACATTGAGATTGGTTCACAAATCGACGTCGTACATTTAACCATTAATGAACGTTAATTTAACGTCTGTTGCCTGCTGTTGAACCAATGTTTGTAAAACAACGTCAGAGCAACGTAGATATTAGGTTGTCGACGTCGCAACCTTTTTTCTACCAAATTTCAACGTTGAAACAACGTCGTGTGCCCGGTGGGCAGTTAATTTTGATAAAATATGATATGCTTTCTATTAAGATAAAAATATTTTAAAGAAAAGTCCTTTTAGGGCCCATTTGCACGATACGACTAGTCGTATACGATTCTTATAATGGCGTATGTACTGGAATAAATGCGTGGGAAGACGCCACATTACAAATTTCGCCCTTGTAAACTGATGAACAGGAATAGTGGCGCCAGTAGTCGTTTTCATACGCAGGGATGACAATCGTATACGACTAGTCGTATCGTGCAAATGGGCCTTAAGTTTATTGTACAACTTACATATCATCGTGAGTAGAAGCTCCAACACGACAAGCCAGTCCAAAATCACCAAGTTTTAACTGCATATCATTATTTATGAAGAAATTTCCTAACTTGATGTCACGGTGAATAATATTTTGAGAATGTAGATAACTGCAAGCTTTAATGGCTTGTCTCATGAAGTAGCGGACCTCTGGTTCCAACAGTGATTTCCGTTGTTTCAGCAGTTGAACCAGAGACTAAAAATATGGTAAAGTAGTATACTGCATGTTAGTTCCATTAATGCCAAATATTAATATTCTGTCCAGCGGAGTAAACACAACAGGATAGGCAAAGAAGGCATGAAGAACGATTTGACTCCATGCATGTTGTACGTCTATTAGATGTATACATAGAGGATATTAGACGGTTGCGAAGAGATATGGATTTTATGTTCGAGTGGCAAAAACAATAGAGTTTTAGCAAGGAGTACGAGTACGACTACGAGTACGAAATTTGTCATTTTTACGCGAAACGCTCGTTGTGCGCTCACGCCAACTCGTACTGACGCGAGAAACTCGTAGCCGGCGCCAATCTGAGTACGAATTTTTTTGCAAAACTCGTTGTCTTGAGTACGAAGTTTTCAGAAGTTGATATTTTCTTTCATTTCGTACGAAATTGATTTAAATTAGCATTTTCGACAATCATAGCTTTGTTCCGGTGCCTTTCCGGTGCATATTTTTTGAGCGGAAGTGTACACTAAACCGGAAATATTCTGGATATCCGCGGGAGTCGCGAGCACAACAATTTGAGTGCAGCGAACGAGTGAGATATTGTTTTTGACACTCGAACATAAAATCCATATCTCTTCGCAACCGTCTAATATCCTCTATTTATTATAATTATAGTAGAGAGTGAGATACTGAAAAATACACAGTGAAATATTTTCCATATCGTCACTAGTGAAGATATCGATCACGTGACTTTTTCCAATTTGCTTTTGAGCGTGAAATTTCACAATTTTCTGCTTGGAACTATATAATAAACAGAACATTACACGGTGGCTTGAAGATATGACTTTTATCTTCTCGTGTTAAAAACAATATTTTACTCACTCGCTGCGCTCGTTCGTAAAATATTGTTTTCACCACTCGAAAATAAAAGTGATCTTCGCGCCGCCGTATAATATCCGCTATATATATACTTGGAGAAAACTTGGAGAAAACACTCATTTCGGTTAACTTAATATTCCTGGTTGAATTTGCTGGCTATTTTATCTCACTTCCTACCATAGTCTGGCTAATGTAACCAGGAATCTGGTTATATTTGACCACGCCGTCCTTGTTAAAATAACCAGACTATGCAGGGTGGATAACTAAATATGGTCCCCTGGTTATTTACAAGGGTGGGTAGTAGCGAAGTAGTTGTAGTTCACTACTGTAGCGAACTACAATTTTCAAGTAGCCAGTAATTTTTGACTACTTTTTTAAAACAGTAGTTGTAGTTATAGCGAACTACATTTTGCCTAAAAGTAGCCAAGTAGTTGACTACTTTTCAAACAGCGAATCGCTATTCGCTACTTTTTAAAATTGTTAGCAACCGTTCATAGAATAGAATGATATTAAGACACGGTTAGCTTAAAAGATTATTTTATACAGTAAAGATTATTTTAGCGCAATGAAAAGTGGCACTCCTGAACACTGTAGTGCTTACAAAAATGTTCCTTTGACTCTTTTTGTTTACTGTTGCTACTCGTAAGTCGATTTGTTATAGGTTATATTACAGCCTGAGCTAGTGGATGCTCCAAGTACCGTAAAACTAAAAAAATGTAGAGTAGCGAAATAGCGAAATAGTTCGCTACATTTTTTAAGCAGTAGCTGTAGTCAGTAGCGAACTACTTTTCTTCAAAAGTAGCAGTAGTTGCAGCTGACTACATATTTTTGAAGTAGCTGTACTTATAGCGAACTACAAAAATTTTGTAGTCAACCCACCCTTGGAACTTATTTATCCACCTAACATAGTTGGTTAATTTAATCAGCATATTAACTAGACTGTAGTAGGAAAAGGCTAAAATAACCAGGAAATTTAACCAGGACAATTAAGTAACTGAAATATAGGATTATTTCTATTTAGTAAGTTAACCAGAGGCCGGTTGTACGAAGGCCAGATAGCGTTATCACAGGATAGTGATTTTCCAACCTTTGCAGAAATGCTTGAAAAACTTTGAAACTACGGATATAGACGACATAAGAAGTTTAAAAAACATTTAACTTATAAATACCATAAATTTTAATACGAGTTATACTAATCAACGACTGATTTAAAAAGTTTGAAAAAATCACTATCCGCTGGACATAGCGCTGTATCCGGCCTTCGTACAACTGGCCCCAGGAAATTTTGACCAGAGTGTTTTTAGTCTCGGACTCGGTTACGTTATAATTTAGTTAGACTTTAGTTGGAATCGGTTACCTTGTAACTGTAACTATAACTATAACGTATTAAAGCGATTGTGTTGTAATAAGAATAATAGAAATGCACGATGAGCAGGTATAGGGAAATGAAACTTTTCCTCCCCATTGCCAATTTTGCCGTTTCCCATTGCGCATGCCCTCAAACGTGATGTGTAAACTGCTGATATGCATTGCTTACTCCTGATATTTATCAAAAGTTTACATTAGAAAATGCACCAACCAAATTAATTAATTATCCCAACCAAGGACGTCTTTATACAGAATATCATCTACTTAGAAACCGTATAATTTTCTAAATGCAAGTTGGTGTTATGTGTCATTCCCACTTTGCATCCCCCTCCTACCATGTATATAATAGCGAACTTAAGCGAAGCTTAATCTAGTACGGGGACGTGTCAAGAAACTGCCTTAAATTTTACACTTTTATATTATAAAGAACCACCGTTATTAAGAACTTCAACAAAGCAGAACAAAAGTTGAATGAGAACGGCCAATAATATCATGTGAATGCAAGAAAACGAGCAAAAATTACTAATTGAAAATTTCACGGACGTTTTAGACGTCGCCGTAGCTCTGTTTTGCAACGGCGAAATACAGATTATCACGTCTTGTATATACAACGCTTACATTTCAAGCTGGGACAACTGCTATTTTAAATTGGGTCCTAGAACTTTTCTCAGTCATAAACCCAGTGTTAATTTTGATCCTTAAAAAGTATTATTTTTATACGATGGATAATAGACGACAGGTTTTCTTCTGCAATCGTTTGGTTCAACGAATTTGTTTGCCGTCGCCGTCGTGTTCCCGTCCTAGATGCTTAAGCTCGCTAATGTTCGGGGGGGGGGGAATTGAGCCGACTGCCCGCTTTTGCATCCTTTTTACACTATAAGCGTACGAGGCAGAAGGGGGGGGGGGCATGGGTGCTGCATCCTCCCAATAAAATTGTTGTTGGGAAAATTATAAACGTAAGTTGTAAAAAGGATGCGGGAAATAAATTTGAAAGCAATAAATATGTCGCAAGATAATAGTGATTAGTCGATAATGCGAGAAATATGTATAATGTTAAACGCATTGGAAATTGTAGAAGAATATTTGGAATTTTACACGGAAAAGGTTTTTTCATAAGTCGGGCAGAATGCAAAAAAAGTTGGACAAATTTCTTTTTGCCCCCTAATTGAGGCGGGAGGGGCAATAATCTTCTTGTCGACTTTCCAGTTTTTATCCATTTTCGTGCAAAGCTTGTTTTCAAAAGTTGTTAGTACCTGCAGTTATGGGCTATTTGTTCCTTGATATATATTTATTTATTAACGGGAGGGGCAGACATAATATTTTCTTTGGATCAGACCACATCGTTATTTTGCTTCGGATAAATTTGGCGGCAAACTTTGATCATAAACCGCAACAATTATCGTGTAAATTTGTTTAGGTAACATGTAGAACTTATGTGGACATAATCCACATACCGGGAAAATTATCATTCATTTGTTTATAATTCAAACACAAAAATTGCAGGTACCAATTAGTCACAAGGCGGTGTCAGATAATAATTTACCTACTTGAGTTTAGTTTAAACTGCTTACATTCAAGTGAAAGTTTAAATTGTGTTTTATTTCGAGTTTCATAGTACATGCGCAAAAGTCCCAAAGTATACTTAAGTTTTCAGTTCTATAATTGTTCTATAATCAAATAAAAGATAATGTCAAGCTTTGGGCGTGACGATTATATAGAAGAACAGGTGAATTAGAAGCTATTCAAAACATTTTTCTGCTCAAGAAGCTTACCTTGCGACTACAGAGTTCCAACAAAATATAAACGTTTTTGTCGTCTTCGAAAAAGCCATGGAAACCAACCACATAGGGATAGTTCAATGATCTGTGGATTTCAATCTCGTTGACAATCTATATGTAGTTAAATACTTGAGTAAACTACAGTATAACTATATGCATAGTTCATATGAGTAAGCCAGGAATCTTTCATGCGCTATATACAAAAGTGTAGAAAATGTATATCCAAAATGAACCTAAAGGATTTACTATTTTTACGATGACTGTCGAGCAAATTATATATTTATACAAATCATTAAAAAGTTAATTAATTATAGCCGTTACATATGGTCTACATATTAACCACAAGAAAAAACTACGGCATGAGAATATAAATATAATTCTTTATCATATCTATAAGTCGAGATCTATAGCAGACTATACTACTAACAATACTAAAGTACTAACACTACTAAAGTACTAACATGCAGTTCCAGTATTAATCGTCCTTCAATTGTCCTGCAAACGTTTACACATTTATGCCTAAGTTAAATTGAAAAGCACGTTCTGGATAAAATCCTACTACATTTGAAGCTTGGCTTTGGTAGGTCAACTCGAGCCTAGACTTAACAGAATTTAAGATATTTTTACCTTTTTCCTCTGGTGTGGTTTAGCTATTCTCGCTTTTGCAACTACTTTGCATGCATAGCCTTGATTGGTTTTCATATCCGTTACTTCGTAACATCTTGCAAACCCACCCTGAGAATAAATGTAAGTAGAAAGGGCGCAATTGTTATACATCAAATTAACACAACTGCAATATACATATATATAGAGATTTAGAATGAAGTCCAAATTTTATGAATGCATGCTGCATTATAATTGTAACATCATATAAGATATTTAAATGTAGCAATTAAACATTTTGTATTCTCTACAAACCTTGCCAAGCAGTCTTCCTCGAAAGTATCTTCGTTGAGTATCAGGATCTATCACAACCTGTGCAACATCAGGAAGCGGGTAGCATTTTGCAATCTTGCTGTTCCTCGTCCCTTTGTAACTAGATAACATTCTTCACTTCCTCTTTGACTTTGTTTACACGCCGTACACTCTAGTGGTAGTTACAAACATTCTAAAACTTTCTATACATACGTTTTAATACAATAGCTACTAATTTATCATTCCTAAAGAATTTGAACGCTTGTTTTCGTGGATAATTAGTTAATTCTCGCGCGCTGATTGGTGGAAAGGTCACGTCATAAGCCAACGTGCGCGCATTGCGTCAGTTGGGCGCGTGCTCAAGTGTCACGTGTGCAAACAAGTCAAACGGCCTATCAACTCGCTCCAGGTTGAATTCAAGGCATATCGTAATTCAATTTATGCTTCTATAGCAATATATTTTTGGATAAAAGTAACTGCAAACAACAAATCTCGTTTTCCACCAGGCGAAATTTTTACGCGAAGCAAATCGATGAGAAAAATGATTGGTTGCAGAGACAAAATTGGGAGGAAAAGTATAGACCGTAGGCGCGTACGGCGAACTTTGTGGCTATAAAAAATTCTGGTTGAGGCTGCACGCAGGCTACTATAACCGATCACATTTCCAAATTTATTTTCGGTTTACTTCGCGTGGAAAAATAGCCTGATGAGTAGTGAAATATCTAAAAGTAAAGATTTACGATCATATTATATGTGGTCAAGTTTATACTATACTTGTTTCAGGTTCACCCAGATCAGTTTATAGTTGAAAATTGAAACATATAATTTTTTCTGTGTTGGTGTTGTAGGTGAATCATGGCTAGGCCAAGCGGGAATCTATAGTTGATCTTTAAATATAATAGCAAAATATTTCGCAATAAAATATATTAGGGCCAGTCATAAATCCGCTTTGCCTTTGCAGGGACGAGAGGGAAGAAGGATGGCTGTTCTAAATCAGTTTACGACTTCAACCGTATCGTAGCGAAGCGTATAGCGCCCTTTTTCTTTGTTCCCTAAATACTAGAGTGGAACTAATGACTTCGACACAAAAGGAAATGCTACGATCAGGGTCGGATTAACGTTCCGCGGGGCCCGTGGCATATTATTGGAGTGGGGCCCCTTGATCCCCCCCACCCCCCAACAACCCAACGGCATTTTAGACCCTGAATTCAGTAAGATTAAAAAAATATCCTTTTGTATTTCATGCGTTGAAAAGTTTCCTGTGTATTTACAAAAAAAGAAAGAATTATACATCAATAATTTGATCCAACTGAAATTCAACCCAATTTATACCATTAGGCATTAACATTATTATTATTTACAGGGGAAAAATAGCTAAACATGATAGCATCCATATAAACTTCTGGAGTTCTGCCGTCTTCCACGAAATTCAGCGATCTTTTAGTATTTAAACCCTATTATTTTCTGGCCTCGCGATCGCTTTTAGGAGCCCCTTGCTCAAAGAAAGAACAAAAAATTTTGTTTGCAGGCCTGCTTTTGGAGCCTCGCTTTTTAAACTTTGGGAGCCTCGAGATTTTTTTAGTTTGGGGTTTCGCTTTTGGGGGCCTTGGACTCTTTGGGGGCCCCGCGCTCTTTGGATCCCGCGCTAAAACAGGGAACAAAAAAATTGTTCGGGGGTCCCGCACTTTGGGGCCTCGATTTTTAAATTTTGGGGGCTATAACGTTTTCTGAGGACCTTGGGCTCTTTGGGGCCCCGCTCTGAAACACTAAAACAGGGAACAAAAAAAAACGTTTGGGACCGATTCTTTTGGGGCCTCGAGTTTTCTGGGGGACTTGGGCTCTTGGGGCCCCGCACTGGCGCACTGTTTGGGCCCCGCGCTGAAACAGGGAACAAAAAATTGAGAAAAAAAATAGAAGAGAGTAAGCGCGGGGCCCCCAAAAGCGCGGGGCTCCCAAAAGCGCGGGGCCCCCAAAAGCGCGGGGCCCCCAAAAGCGCGGGGCCCGTGGCATATGCCGCTTCTGCCCTATGGTTAATCCGGCACTGGCTACGATACGTTACGATACGGTCGAAGTGGAAAACTGGCTTAAACATATGGCACCGAATTCGGCCAGTTTCCTGAGCTCTGGATGTAACTAAATGTCGTCTTTGAAACAAAAAAGTCCTATAGTACGTCACGATACAGTAGGAAACAGGCTTAATATGGTCCAAGAGGATTCATATAGAGTTTCCAGTATAGCCTAAATAGTAACGGCATATTCAGCAAAACTGCTGTGCATCAATGAATATTGTCATAGTGTCTAGATTACAGATTACTATAGTTGCAATTGAGATGCTGGTTCAATTAAGCTGCATGTATTCATAATAAACCTTATCCAGCTACGTGATCTTAATAACCGCCGTTTGACTTTTCGTTGAAGCCTGCATGCAGTAATTTATTTCTATACTTCAGATTCGTCCTGCCTTCCAAGTTTCCAACCTTTCCGGTATCAATAGCGTCACGGCATGATCAAAGAGCCAGTCAATATATATATAGCTATACACATAGTAATACTGTAAAATTAATTTAACACTTTGTCGGGTACGGTCTCTGGATTGTAACTTTTTTTATCGGATTAGCTTAATACACTATATATGGCATAAGTAAGTTTACTGAATTTTTTATATATATAAGAACGGCCGTCCTTGCATTAAATTGGGTTGGGAGTTACAGTATTTAAAATTGCAATCGTATATAAAAAAAAGAAAATATATTATCATGTTGTACCTTTTTCTTTACTATATTGAAGTATCATCTTTCATTTGAACAACAAATCCAGTAATGCACGTATCTGTTCCATGTTAAATTAATAAGTCAATTTTCTCATTGTTCTATCACAATGATATTCCAGTTTAATGTATACAAAATTTATCAATTGGGTCTGGGATAACACTTCAATTTAATTTTTCTTTCCATACAAAACTATATAACTCTTTTTTTACACATGCTTTCCAGTGTTTATTTTGAAACGATATTAATGGAGTATTTGTATATTTATAAGAATATCAAACAAGGTTTATTGTTCAAGACAGTCTGCCTAACAGGTGTTCAGATTGTAAAGAAACCAGGTTGTGACTGCCATGTTTTTGAACAGCGGATGTTTACTAAAATTACAGATTCAGGTTCCCGGACTCATGGCATGAAGTTGAACTATTTAAAAAAAAACTCTAGCACTGCATGCTCTCTGTGTCATGTACTCATTACTCAACTCGCGAACCTGTGTTCCGCAATTCTTACGACAAAAGTCGGTACTCAACGCCACGTTGCCGTTTAGAATAATTTTGAGATAAAATGGACAGCGGCATAAACCAATCGTCATTTGGTGCTAAAGAACAGATTAACATTCAATATCTCTATCAAGGTATACTAAGATTAATTCAAATTTGAATTATATGTAACTCATAACACTGAATTTTACTTTTTATATTGATAATATATGCGTATAGCCATCTCCACTCATATAACTAAAGCTAATTCAGAAACTCGAAAAATAAATACAAATTTAATCTTGAAATCAACATGATACTTCAAAAATCTCAAACTATACAAAATAACAAAACATCTTGGCTAGTTGTTCGAAATCTGGTTAGCTTAATGCTAGGTTGTATAAGTGTAAAACGTCAAAGCAAATTTCACGTCAGCATGTGAATTTACAGTTATATATTTTGTAAAGTTATAAAACCAGGGCCGTAGCTAGACGAGACAATTGGGAGAGGGGGGGGGGGTATATTCGTATAATCATGTTCACATATAGTAAAAACAATCGCTTTCAAAAGAAATCCGTCGAGCAGAACACGAATATATGAATATGCACCCCCCTCAATTATCGCTCTAGCTACGGCCCTGTATAAAGATGCATAAATTTCCGTGTCATCCTCATCAGCATAGAGTGAAGGAGTTGAATGAGTGACTTAACGAATCAGGCATACATTTCTATACAATAAGAATAATACGGTGGACCAAGGATAGACCCCTGTGAACTCCACATATTATCGTTTTTGGACTCGAGTTATTGGAAAGATAGCCATAAAGCTGTCAAAAAACCTCCCTCTCAAATACTTTACTTACAATGGGGAGTATGAAAATTGGTCTGTAATTTTCACATTTCCGTTTATCTTCAGATTTGTAAATTGGAATTACTCGCTCGCGTTTCCAGTCATCAAATACCAGTGTCAAGTGATAAATTAAATATATATGTTAATAACGGAAAACCAATTTTTAGTCCCATTTTCAGACAATCATGACATGCAGTTGTTTGTGGAACGCGTGGTAATATAATATAAGCGCGTGTGTAACCCCACCCAATCACCCCCCTTTCAATGTTGACGTGACTGTTAATAAGTTATCATGGTGCCATGCCCAGTACAATGAAATTAGTAAAAATGCAACATTGATGAAATATATTTTTGAATTAGAAGATAGGAACTGTGAAATTGCACCTGCATGTATGCACATTCAAAAACAATCTTTATGAACATTATTCTAATTTAATATTTTCTGTTTTTGATGTTAATTTGTTAAGTACCTGATCAATGTCACGTGAATGTCCTCGTCATCGAATTTGACTGTCTTATGTTTTTTGTATTGTAATTTATTGTTTTGTATTTTTATTTTGGACACTGTCACGTATATTCAGGGAGGTGCCTCGCATGGGTAGTTTTTTTTATAAACAGGCATCTCGTTCGCACCTCCACCATTTGGGATGAATTTTTTTTTGTTTTAAGCTCACATTATTATTTATTATGATTATTGTAGTAATCGATCTTGTTATATTTGCACTTGTATTCATACCCAATAAATAATTTATAGAGAATTTATAGAGTTTCACAACATTTGCATGCATGCAGGCCATGCATGATTTTCACATTGTGAATTACCAAACTTCTACATCGCTTTATTTACGACAGCTTATGTGATCTTAATTAGTCACGAAATCTGGATTTCCCCGACCAAGACACCAAGTCTACAATCGTCCACAAAATATATTGAGACTTTTTAAATCAATCCCCTCCCCCTTATTTCAATGTTGAAACCTACTGTACTTATCCAAAACGAACATAAGGTGACACTAGAACCGCAACTGCATGTGTCACTGGCAGTTGAAATTTAACATATGTTGGATTTATACTATATTGTAGTGCCTAACAACATTGAAATCGGGGGAGGGGGTTAACGTTTGTCTCAAATATTTTGTGGACGATTGTAGCTTGTTGTTTTATTTTATCCGGCTAATTGAAGGGCCAATACCCATTCGTATATAAAAACTAAAACGTATTCAAAAACTCAGAAATATATTTTTACTCAAAAACGCCGGAATCAACATGCAACTACAAAAATCTCAAAAACTACAAAACATTCTTTTGTCCCGCGTCACGTGATATACGTGATAAATATTAATTATTACAAATACGTCACAAATATACGCGTGGTGGTCACGCGTATATTTTCCAACACTCCCAAATGTTCTAAGCTGTTAATTTGGCTTAAGTCTGATCTACATTATATCCCAGGCTATAAATACGAAGGCTAGAAATATATTCCAGGCTAGCGCTAGTAATAAATAAGGTGTCTGAATCCTGCCTTTGTTTTTTATTAACTTAATTAACATGTGACATCGGACCTATGACCAACATTATGCTCAACAGGCATTTTGTTTAACATATATGATATCGTTTTGTGCATGGCTATCCCTTGCTGCTATTCTTGATCGAGTCAGAGGCTAGACGAGATAATCATATAATAGCGCTTATACCTGAGAGTTTCGGGCGATATTAAGGCAGAATTTTCGAACTCAAGAATTACACATTCTGAGAAAATTAAATACCCCAAAATTGACTTTGGGAAAAACATAAAAACATATATGAAAACGTATACAGGGTGTATAAAAAAAAAGAATTTGAAATTGCTCTTAATTTCGCAAAACAGCCATTAGTACCTAGTTTTTTTATGTATATAGCTTTTTTGGGTACTTAAGTATAAAGTAGAATAATGAAAAAAATTCTCGAACTCAAATTTTGTGAACCAGGGGGTGTGTCTTTTCCAACAAATTAAAAATGGCTTGCGCACGAAATTTAAAAGCTTTAATCGTATTTTGAGTTAATCGATGGAAAATTTGTTGGGTTTTTAAGGTTTTTAACCACTGTACAACATTTCAGACAATTTTCTTTAGTTTAAGCCCTTTAATTATCCAATTTTTCCTAAAAAATCAGCCTTTCGCATGCTTAATTATTGCTGGACATTTGCATATTGCTGGCATATGCAAATTGGCAAATGCATTACTTAAGCATGCAAATTGCTGATTTTTTAGGAAAAATGTAAGTTTGCCTGAATAGTTGAAGGGCTTAAACTGAAGCAAAATGTCTGAAATTTTGTGCAGCAATTAAACATCCAACACATTTTTCATCCATTAACTCAAAATACGATTATAGCTTTTAAATCTCGTGCGCAAGCCATTTTTAGTTTGTCGGAAAAGACACCCCCCATGTTACAAAATTTGTGTTCGAGAAATTTTTGCATTATTCTACATTAGAAGTACCCAAAGAAGCCATATATATAAAAAACTGGTTACTAATAGCTGTTTTGCGAAATTTAGAGCAATTTCAAATCTGTTTAGTTTTTTTATACACCCTGTATAAGAGTGTTAAAATTGAAAATTCCGTATTCCATGTCACATTTTTAACTCATTCCATTGGCATTGAGCAGTAAACAAAAAATCCATATTTTACAGACAAAAAGTGAAAGAATTCCGATTCCAAAATTCCGCCTCATGCCCCGAGAGAGTTGGTCTACCAAATAGTCACATGACTGCTGTAACGATAATACAGTTAGAACTCTAATTCCCGTTAATATAATATATTGAATGATTAAAAATGAGCAATTAAAGGTTTTTATCAAGATATCAATTCGTTTTCATCGATCTTGGATTTGTGAAGATGTTTAATAATTAATCTTTTGTATAGTTCTTCATTTCTTTCAACTTTTCTAATATCATTTCCATCTTTCCTTCCAAGGCTTTACGGTCCTCTTTATTTTGATCCTGGATTTCGTTCAAATCATATCGTAAGCTTGAACGAAGATTTTCTAATTTAATTTCAATTGCTTTTTCAATATGATCTTCTAACGTAATGTCCATTTCGTGTTCATCCTCATTTTTCTCACTCCCACCGTCGACTGCATCCATTTTGCTGCCGAAGTACAGCAAGTCCAAGGCTTTTTTATGAAGATTCTTTTTTCGTTGAGGAAACACGATGAGGATTTTATCTTCTGTTGCTCTCAGCCAAGAGATTTTGTTTACACTTTTCTCCAAATGAATAATAAATTCAGCCTACAAATGAAAATAAACTTAATTAGTACTTTTGCACAAGTGAACATAGAAATCCTACACGTTGATTGGTCAAATTTGACGTAATAAGCTGTTATATTCACCTACAGGTGAATATAACAAAACAGAAATTTTCAAAATGGCGGCTACCCGTTTTGTGGAACTTTACTGACAAAGAAATAAGCGAAATTAAAATAAATTCAGTATCAAAAAACACAAAAGCTTGTGTAAAAATATTAAAACTATTATTCGCCCCCAGGCTCGGTGAATATCGGGAAATATTCACCTCGACTTCGTCTCGGCGAATATTCCCCGATAATCACCTCGCCTACGGCGAATAATTGTTAATTAATCATCATGTATATCACCGTCAACTTGTGGAAGTAACAGGCTTTAGGGGATACTTGCGGAGGGCCGCTACTATATCAAGAGGTCGAAAATTTCAGGTTATCGCTAAAATCGATCAGCTTCAATAGTTTCCAGTTTTGAAATAATATCGACCAACAAATCTTTTTAATTAAGTTAAGGTGGTCTTCCACCCAAATTTTCCAATATTCGTTATTTTTTAAAAAAACGTAAAAATGTAGTCTTTATAGCGTTCTTTATAAAATCCGTGTAATATTAAGAACGAAAATGTACCGTGAACCAGAGAAATTCAGCAAATTCTACACCTTCGTAGGGTAAAACCACGATTTTACCCGGAGCGATAAAGATATGCGATTGGTTTAGTCTATTGTTCCATTTTCAATTATATTGTTCTATCTAAGTTATTCTAATATATGCAAAAACTTTAAAATCGCTTTTCTCACATGAGCATTTTGCGAAATACTAAAAACTCTCCTACTGTTCATACTGAATCAATTCGTTCGAAATTTTCAGAGTTTATTTGCTTGTTACATAGCCATGTCATGGACCAAAAAAACTTCATATATCAGCAATATACATTGCAAGAGTAGCCTTATAAGAACTCCTTTCTTCATATAATTTTAAAAAAGTAAAATATGAAGGCCTTATTATATTACTTGTATATTTTTTTAGGTTCATGACATAGATCGATGTATTAAGTGTCCATTAAAGCTGTTTCTAAAATCCTCGGTAAATTAGTTTGGCTCACATCATTTTTGGAGCAAATCCTATATTTTACCCTATAGCGAGGCCTATCTTAGTTACTATGGCAACGACGAATGTAAAAGTTACTGATCCTGCGTCAGCTGAGGATATTCCATCATATTTGACTCAAATATGATGATAAAACCTTTAAATTGAAAAAAATGTTTTTAGGGTGGAAGACCCCCTTAATCAGTTTTATTATACGTACCCTTTGTTTAAATTTATCAATTTTTGCAGATTTCATCACTTCATCGGTATCACCAACAGCTAGACCAATCAGAGCATTGTTTACAACAATCATCATGACAAGTATAAACAAAATAAGAATCACCAGCTTTATTTCATAAGTCTCCGTATTCCATCCATATTTGACAAAGTGTTTATGATAATCATCAAGGCCAGATGCCATGGTGACAAATGTTGAAACGAGGGAAATATACATATTACGGAAGCTACCATGGTCTGTTAGCAATATGTAGAACGTGCTGGAAAAACTCAGTAAATATATGAAAACGACGAGTAAGATCTAAAAAACAGAAAAGTATATATGAAATGGAAACGAATTGAATTTTACATACAAATGTACAGTATAATATGTCTGATCAAGGCTTGTCAGTTTTGATTTAATACGATTTAATTCCTCGGTTCCTCCATCGAACAGATAGAGGAGGCAAGAACTGGAAGAGAATGCAGCCGTGCTCAAGGCCAAAATGCGTATTGCTCGTGAGAAGGAGAAATTCGATCAAGCAAATCGATTGGCCTTACAAGAAATTGAAGGCAAACTACAAGAGATTCAAAACGAAGAGCGGAAGGTTAAAGAGCAAATTACTCTTACTGATGAAAGATTCAAGATTAGAGAGGAACTCGCCGAAGCGGAAGCTCGAATTGACGTCTGCACACGGTTCGAGGGTGAAGAAAAATCATTCAGAACCATTGAAGAGACCCCTTGTGGTGATAATGCACCCGATCGCGTCGAGCGCTTCCTCCAGTCTCAGTCGTCACCAGACGCATCACCCTTAACAGAATTGGAGCATCCTGGAAACTTCACCTCCAACCAAGAGGCAAGTCCTACAACACCTGTAGAGAATCAAGCTGTCAGTACGTTGAATCCTGACGCTCGTTACTATACGCCACCTACAGCGAATGATTCCTCACAGTACGAACAAGGACAACCGAATGTGAGAAGTACGAACGAAGATCATTCCACTTCAGACATAGAGAACCCGAACATCTTACAAACCCACCTCACTGCTCTAAACAAGTTAGTAGAAAGTCATGCCCAAAGTCGTCTCCCCCTTCCAAAACCAGAAGTCTTTAATGGTGACCCACTAAAGTTTCCAATTTGGCTTAAAGCCTTTGAAACATTAATCGAAACGCGTGCGACTAATTCCACTGAACGACTACATTTCCTCGGATGGTACGTTGGTGGCGAAGCTAAAGATGTCATAGATGGATATATGCTGATGGACGGAGAAGACGCCTATCTGTAAGCCAAGGAAATGTTATCTAAACGTTACGGAGATCCATTCGCAGTTGCCTCGGCATTCCGCAAGAAATTGGAATCCTGGCCTCAAATCCCACCACAAGATGGTTTGGCATTGCGACGATACGCAGATTACCTGGTGCAATGCGAAAAGGCGATGGAAAGGGTCGACAGTTTGAAGGTTTTAAACGACGACCAAGAGATACATAAGATGTCTTCCAAACTACCCAAATGGGCTCTCACAAGATGGGGCAGAAAGGTTTACGCTTGGAAGAACGAGAAGAAGAGATTCCCCCCATTTTCTGAGTTTGTGAAGTATGTCGTGGTTGAAGCAGACATTACGTGCGATCCAATTAACTTGAGCCAACGGAAGATAGAGATCTATTCAAGGGGACCTCGAAGACAAAGGACTATGGAAATTTCAGAGGTACACCTCGAGAATCAAACCGCGATGAGTTTGCTAGATCATTGGCAACAAAGGTTAATGAAGAAGATGCGAGTAAGGGCAAGACCGAAGAAGTCCAATGCGCAATGTGTGGAAAGGCCCATGAATTGGAATCCTGTAAGAACTATATGGATATGGAGGTCAAAGCGAGGAAAGAGTTTGCAAAAACGAAAGGACTCTGCTTTGGATGCCTTGGAAAGGGACATTTGTCGAGGGATTGCAAGAGACGGAAAAAGTGCGACACATGCAAAAGGGCTCATCCAACATCCCTGCATGGAGACCTGAAGGGCGAATCTAAA